GGGAGCCTGCTTCTCCCTCTGACCCTCCCCCCTCTCATGTGCTCTCTGTCTCTCATTCTTTCTGTCTCAAATAAATAAATAAAATCTTTAAAAAAAAAAAGAAGAAAGACCCGGGCACAGGAGAAGGGCTCGGGACCACAGAGGCACGGACTGGAGTGAGGAAGCAAGCACATGCCAAGGATGGTAGCAGCCCCAGAAGCTAACAGAGGGGCAAGGAACAGATTCTGTCCTAGTGTCTTCAGAGGGAGCCTGGTAACACCTTGCTGACACCTTGATTTCAGACTTCCAGCCTCCAGAGCAGCAAGAGAATACTTTGAAACCTCCCAGCGTGTGGAACTTTGCAACCCCGAGGGAACAAATACATTTACCTACACCATTGCTAATTTTTCCCGCAACTCAGTCCTCCGCTTACCGATAAGAAGATGGAAGAATCCTCCCAGTCTTCCTTTCTGCAAGGCCCACAGCCCACTCTACAGGGGAGGCCGGTCACAGGCTCACAACCCCACCTCTCCAGGGAGACATGAAGGGAAGTCTGCTGGGGACCCCTGCACAGAAGTTCCTCCCAGAGCCAGGAGCAAGCAAGTGACCTCTCCTTCCTACTTTGGGCAATGCGTGTCTGTTCAGTTGTTCATCTGACAAATATTCTCTGTAGACAAACCCAGATTTGTTTGGTATTCTCAATGTCCAGTCAACACCGGCTGGGTCAAATGTGCCCTGTGGATGCTTTAAATGCAGACATGCCTGCAGGACTACCGTGGGAGGCCACGGCCAGCCCTGCCACACCCAAATCTCAAGGAGGGAGAGCGGGACTGCAGTTTAGCTAGAATGTTCTCCCCTGGAAACAGAATAGGACCTTCCAGCTGACATGGGCCTCCAGCTGGACATAGTCTGAAGGCCCCAGGCCCATGTCTCAACACCCCATCTTGGATTTCTCACGACAGGGGATGCACCAACTTTTTAAGCCCCAGGAAAGGGCACCTGCTCCTTTGTCCTTGACCTCTTGGAGAACCTTCGCCCCATGTGTTTGCAGGTGTGTGGAATCCAAAGTGAAAGCAACTCTGAAATGGTTGAGTCATTACTCCTGCCCATCCTCAAGCTGATCGGCCCTCTGTGGTCTAGTCTTGATCCTTTGCTGTGTAGACACCCAGATAAGACAGAAACACAGGAGCTGGGCAGGGTCTTTGCCCTGATGGAGTTTAAGATCCAGGCAGGAGCTCAGGAAAGATGTCTCAAAGACATGCTTTTCCTGGCAAAAACATGCATCCTTATTGATTCCTACTTTCCTCAACCAGGTTTCGAGCAATTCTATCCTGCTTGAAATCACAAAGCTTCTAAAAATGTGTTTCCCAAAACGATTGTGCAAAACCATTTTTACATAACACCTCAGAAATAAAGGCTGCAACCTTTTGGAATCTTAAGTAAGCAAAGCAGACGAGCAGACACACACTGTGGGCATCGTTCTTTGACCCTCTTCAACCCTGAGAAAAATCATAAAGAGTTTTCTGATAGCAAGGTGAGAATTCTCTTTTTCCATTGAATGTCTAAATCAGCGGTGGCTCTGGTAATACTCTCTGCAAAATGGATCCAAATGAAGTTGCAGAAAACGACCAGCCAGTAATGGGAATGTCAAGTCTAATTCAGATGTTTCAAAGAGTCCAAAGCCGGCTGGAGCATGTAAAAAGACTTTGGTGGGATGCGTGCTGAACTGAATCATTACTTCTGAGAACAATTCGCAGGAATAAGAAGTGGCATTTAAGGATCTGATTTTTACGGGCTTGGAGAAAAGATAGCATCTTGTGTGCTCAAGAAAAAAAAACACTAACAAAGCCTGGGAAGTAAACAGAGACAGAACCCTAAAGATAGAGATGAGGAGGAGCCCAGAGACGGCACACTCTCTCTGCAAACACCCAGGGACACGAACGGTGGCCAGGTCAGTGCTGGGGAAGAGCACTGTGTAGGAGGAGAGAAGAAATGGTCGAAGCCAGACAGATCCTGTCCCACCAGAGGATAATGCCAAGGAAGGATGGGCATGGCGGCAAGATGCTATGGTAATGATGCCCCACCAAGGGGCAGGTGGGAGGGACCACCGATGCCCAGCACACAGCATGCTGGCCCAGCAGAGAGGGGAGACCAACCGGCTGGGCAGATATGCTGGAAAGGACTCATTCCCTCCTGCCGACCCACAACATCCCCCGAACACTCCTGTCCGTGCAACCAGGTCCAACAAACAGGGCTCTGGATTCAGAATTAACGGTGTGCCTAAGGTTCAGCTTAAACTGTGAAGCGTCTATACCCAGAAAAGGATACTAAATGAGCATAAGCTTTGTTTGTTTCTTTGCTTGAACAGGTTGTTTGGGTTTGTCTGTTTGCTTAAATTTCTGGGTTGGTTGGTTGGTTTGTTGAAAGGAAAAGCAACTTTAAGGAATGCTGATTGGGAGGTCTGTTTGGGAAAGGGAAAAGAAGCTCTCTGTCATTGCCAAATGGGTACGACCATATCCTTGGAAGGAAACAGTGACTTAGTTGCTCTAAATAAACAGACTGAGTAGATGGTGGTTATGGGTTATTTCCCCTGTGCTGCTAGTGATGGTTTTAACTTTGTTCCTTCACACCAGTCACACCGGTCTCCCCACTTTAACCCAGAAAAGGACCAGGACCTCCTATCAAGCTGCTCCTCCCTGGGTCTTGCCCCCTCTCAGCAGAGCGCCGGTGGCCCTTGCCCGCTCATCTCCGGCTCCCAGTGCCAGGTTGGTGGCTGGTGTACATAGCAGTCCTCCCTTGGAGCCTGGCGAAGATCTGGACCCTCCAGTGTACCCGGAACGGTCACCTGCCCATGCTTGCTTGTCCTGATCGTCTCTTTAGGTGTCTGCTCTCCTCCTGATCATCTGAGCTCTTCCAGCACAGGAATAATGGCGGCAGTGCTAGCAGCCATTACTTACTAATCACCAACTGCAGATCAAGGATCGTGTTAAAAGATGTAAATATATGAACTCATGTACTCCCTCATCAATGCCGTGAAGGTGACCTCTTGTTAGACACGGTTGATGACCTAACCCAGAGCCACTTCCTTACGCCTTGTCTGCTCAGTGTCTGTCTAGAGGGGTTGCCCTCCAACGATGTTGGGGACAGGAACACCCCTCACAGCCCAAGGGGGGATGCTGCAAAGGGTCTAAGGCAGGAACGGGCAAACGATGGCCTGCGGACCAAGTCCAGCCCCTCCCTGGCCTGTTTTTGTTCATAAAGTTTTATTAACACACAGTCAAGTTCATTAATTTACAGACTGTCTATGGCTGCTTTCTCCATACCATGGCAGAGTTGGATAGTTGCAACAGAAACCATGTAGCCCTCAGACACTACACTTATCGGCGCTTCATTTAAAAAGTTGACAGCCCTCTGGTCTCCGACAGTCACGGTCACTTCATTCTCCTTGCCGGTGAATGGTTTCAGCCTGGGCCTGTGATGTAGTCCTGACCAGTGGTATCAGAAGGGGTGATGGCTCAGATGTTATAAAGAGATGATGAGTGTGACACCTGGAGCCACAACAGCCCTCCTGAAACCATGAGGGAATGAGCCCAAAGACCAAGGTGGCGCACTGAGGATAGTGGAGCAGAAAGACCATCAGAACTGGGTCCTTGATGGAATTATTGAGCCACTGAATCAAGACAGGAAGCATTTACCACTTGACTCCCATCTTATAAAATAATTTCTTCACCTTTTATCAACCCGACGGTATCGTGTGCTGCCAAAAGCACCCTAAATGATTTAGTATTATTTAAGGCAAGACAGATGAGGCTCTAGAGGTTAAATAACTCTCCTACACTCAGACAGTCGGTGGTGGTGCTGGGATTTAAATCTAGGTTTTCTACTCTACACTGGCCACATCTCACTCTGCTCGACAGCCCCACACTAGCCTTGTTTGGAGCTCCTTCAGTTTCCAGTCTGATGGGCCAGCCTCAACTGACTGCCAAAAGCTTTGTGGGTCTCTGTTACACCAGGAAAGCTGACCCATTTGGGCCATGCCAATCTCAGTCCACACGGAGAGCTGGTAACTACTGGCAGGAAGGGCAGGGCCGTGGGGCTCTGGCCCCTCTGGCATGTCACTTCAGCTGGTCCTCTGCTCTCACAGCGCCCCCTGTCTTTAAAAACAGTAGCTGTGCCATTTATCCAATGTTTCCTAGTCATATCACCAGGAGAGTCGGCCAGCTGTGGCCCCGACATCCTACTCGGAGGTTACGTCGTGACATGGTTCTCAAATTAAGAATGAAACAAATAGCTCAAGCACCGCATCAGTGAACAGAGGAAGGGGCCCAGTGAAGAGACGGTGAGGGTAACCTCCCTGCTAGTTCTGCTCCCCACTCTGCTCCCAGGTAAGGCCCCTCATCGACCGAGCTTCTGATCAAGGGGTCCCGGCGCAGTTTCCGCTTATGCGGGAGTAGCGGGTTCTAGCTTCCCCCCAGTCACATCCTCCCATGGGAACCCAGGGCACCTCACCCTCTTCTTGCTACAAAGCCTACCTCCCACCGGCCCTGGCTCCTCACGCTGCAACCCCGGGGTGGCCCTCTCCCCTGGGCTGCGAGTTCAGGTGACCATGGACCTGCCGTCCCCACAACCACGGGCCGGCCCCTCCCTCCCTGGGGGCGGAGGAGGCTGAGGACACTCACATGAAGATCAGGTGCTCCCAGCGTCTCAGCTCCACCTGCTCCTCCGTTGAGGCCTCCAGAGCGTCGTCCTTCAGTCTCTGCCTCACGCTCTGGACGCCCTCCTGGTCCCTGTCCCTCTCCTCACCCTCGAGCTGCTGGGCCCTGGCAGCCAGCCCCCGGCTGTGTTCTTCCAGGATCTGCTGCAGGAAGAGCCAGGGCACGCTGCGCTTGAGCAGCTCCTGGGTCATCCCCGAGTTCTGCAGGCGCCGCAGCTCCTCGGTGGCCTTCTCGGACAGCGACAGCATCAGGGCCCTGAGCTCCTCCAGGGCGGCCTGGTCCAGACGCTCCTGCAGCTCCTCCAGCACGGCGCTGTGCTCCGCCAGCAGGCTCCCCCACCGGCCCAGGTACTGGCTGGCGTCCTCGGCAGCTCGCAGGGCCTCCCCGAGGGACAGCTGCTCCTTCCGCTGCTCCTTGTGCTGCAGGGGTTTGAGAGAGGAAAACTCAGTGGGGACAGGCTTGGCGCACACAGCCCTCTGGGGAAGCCCGTGGAAACATGTGCAGGAGGCACAGAACGGTGACGGTCTTCTCCCAACGATCTCACACAGAGAAAGGTATGCTTAAGAAAGTAACCCGAAATAAGGGCACCTGGGTGGCTCAGTCAGTTAAGCATCCAACTCTGGGTTTCGGCTCAGGTCATGATCTCAGGGTCGTGAGCTTGAGCCCCGCGTTGGGCTCCTCACTCAGTGGGGAGTCTGCTTGGGATTCTCTCTCTCCCTCTCACTCTGCCCACCCCTCTCAGTTCACATGCTCGCTAAAAAAAAGAAAGTAACCCCAAATAGAGTGAGAGCTCTATCTGTTGAACATGTATTGGACACATATTTATCGAGTAGGTAAAGCCCAAGAACAGACCACCAGGGTTCCAAGCCTGGCTCCTTTGTGGATGAACTGAGGGACCCTAAGTGAACATCTAGAACTCTTGGTGCCTCCACGTCCTCATCTGTAAAATGGGGCTGATCTACCTCACAGAGTAGTTGGGAGGACTCAGTGAGTTGTTTAATACGTGTGTGGTTCTCAGAGGCCTGCCCGGTGCACAGTTCACGTCAATGAACTTCTGTTATTCTGTGTCCTGGGCGCAGAGGACCTGCAGCTCGCGAGGTTATAAGGGGAAAAAACACCCTGAGATCTGTGACAGACATTGAAATGAGGAGGTCAGGAGAGGTCTTTCCGGAAGGAGATCCGAGGGAGACCTGAGGGAGGAGGTCACACCTCAGGCGGGTTAAGATACGGGGACACAAGATCCCTGGGGAGAGAGCTATAGGCGTGAAGACCCCACGGGGGATGAAGAAACCAGACAGGCATAATAAAGATGTCCATCGTGCTGGGATTTCTCAGAGCACTTGCAGGCAGTCTCCATTCTGTGTTGTGAGGACATGGGATGGCCCAGGTGGCCAAACAAGGTCACCATTCTACCACTATTCATCAAGCACCTACTGTGTGTCCTCAGCATCGGGGATACGGCATAAATCTCTGCCTCTCTGGCTCCGTGGAGCTACCTCCTAACTGTACCACTGACAGATCGATCAGCAGCGGCAAGAGTATTCACAGAGGATCACTGGAGTCTCTGCAGCTCATCCATCCTTCTAGATCCTACCCTTAAATCAGGCCTGACCATCAGAGAAATGTGGCCTTGGGCCCCCCTGATGTCATTGCTCACATACCTTTTGCAGCATCTCTCGTCTTCTCTTCAGGATTAATTTTTGGTGCAGCTTCTTCTTCTCCTGTTTTAAGTCATTGTCCAGCTTCTGTTTGATGGAAAAGACTTCTGTTTGAGCGCGCTCCAGCAGCACCTCCATCTGCTCCTCATCCAGGTACCCTGCTCTAGGAGAGAGACGGAGGTGGGTGATGCACTCTCCAGACCCACCCTTAGCTCGCCTGCTGCGGTGGCTGGACATTCGTCTCTGCGTTCGTTTGGTCTGATCAGAAAAAGTCTTTACCTGAAGGAGCAGGAGCAGAACGGGCAGCTAAGAAGGGCAAGGTCGGCGTCCCTAGAGCCATGCCCAGAAAGCTCAATGCTAGACACTACCTGTTGTTGGGGCAGAGCCTGGGCAAGAGCTCTAGCAGACAGTGATGCTCCGGGGACCACAGCACTCCAGGTACAGTTTTCCAAGAGGAGACGGTGGGTTCAGAATTGCTGGTGACAGGATTGTCACCAGCAAAGTCCAATAGGTAAATGCAGGAAATACTGCATAGGGCCAATTCTTCATGCTAACCTGGCTAGCCACAGGGCACCCACATTAAACACTGTGTTTGGGTGTGTCTGGGAGGGTGTTTCCAGGAGAGATTAGCACTTGAATCGGGGGACAGCCCTCCCCAGAGTTGGGGGGGCACAGCCAATCCAGTAGGGGACCGAATAGAACATAAGGTGGAGGAAGGAGGAAATCTGCCTCCTTTGTCCTGCCTCACTGCTTCAGCTGGATACCTCATTTCACCTTCTCCTGCCTTCGGACTGGGATCCCCTGGTTCTCAGGCCTTTGGACTCAGACTGAACTACACACTGGCTTTCCAGAGCATTCCAGAGTCTCCAGCTTGCACGTGGCAGGTGGTGGAGTCCTCAGCCTCTGTAATTATGTGCGCCAATCTCTCATATCTATCTTACCGGCTGTTCTTCTGGAGAATCCTGACCGACATAGTCTGTTACTACCACGATCACCATGACTAGTCCCAGTCTGTCTGCATCACTGGGCTGGGCCCCCTGCTTGGCACAGGTAGATACCCATGGATGTTTCTTGAAGGAGTGAATATATAAATGAATGAATGGTGGATACATACTTTAGAAACATGTCTGTGCCAACTTTTAATTAATTAATTTTTTTATTTTTATTTTTTAAAATATTTATTTATTAGAGAGAGAGCACGTGAGCCGGTAGAGAGGCAGAGGGGGTGGGTGAGGGAAAGAGAGAGAATCTTAAGCAGATTCTGTGCTGAGTGCAGAGCCCGGCATGGGGCTTGATCTCATGACCCTGAGATCCTGATCTGAGCTGAAACCAAGAGTGGGATGCTTAACCGACGGAGCCACCCAGGTGTTCCTGTGCCAACTTTTTAAAATAGAATTTAAAAATCAGAGCTAAAACACACCTCCCTGGTAACTGCTCACAACAGTACAACCAACGGTCAGGTGCTTCAACTCAGGGCAAAGAACTGTTTCTTTCCTTGAGTGAATATTAATCAGGAATGTCAAGGCAACTGCAGTGACAAATTCATTAGCATCTTCGGGTAGCGAGTGTTCACGTAATCTGCACCTTACAGAATCCTCATTAAATAGGGCAAGAGAGCCGCAGAGTCCTAAAAAAATTACCAAGGTGGCAGAACCAATTCCTAACGCCACAGACTGTCCTGGGAAAGCCAACTTCATAGGCATGCCTCTATTTATTTTAGAGCTTCTCATAACCAAAAAGAATAAATGTCATTGTTTGCAGGTAAGTACCTCAAAGACTAGCTGGGAGGAAAGGGGCGGAGGCCGCCCTGCTGTGGGCCTGCATCACCACCGACTACATGGTCCCCCCGGGGCTGCAGAGAAAAACCAGGGACAATGCACAAGAAGCGTCTGTGTATTTAGATTTCACTGCCAAGGTGAATGCAAGAGCCGGCAGAGTGCCCGAGCTCAAGGAGAGGCAGGCTCTCCCACCACACAGCTCAGGTAAGCCTCCACCACTGATCTCTCAGTGAAATGCTGGGGATTTCCTTTAAGATACTCCGCGTGGGGGGCGGCCTGGGTGGCTCAGTCGGTTAAGCATCTGCCTT